GGGGGGGAACAGTGAAGTCAGACAAAACCAATGACATCATCCTCACCAGATTTATAATAAGGTGCCGGCACAGCTACCTGCACTATGACCTGTACCCCTCCCACTTGGGTTTTAGGTGGGGCCACCAAGTAGATGAGACCTCCCCACAAGTTCCACACCTGCATCATCTCACTGTCAATGGGAAATTGCTCATGAACATTGGGCGCTCTCTTCAGCTCCTCAGCCTTAAGATAGTCTGTTTGACAACCGATTTGGACCTGTGATGGAATAGAAACGATTTTTACAGACACCATTATGAAGCAATGCACGTTGAAATTCTTTCTGTAAATCTATCCATGGCAACACTTGTCATTATCACGATATGAGATGAGCTGGCGCTTATCCCAGCTGAAACACAATAAATCCAAACAAGAACAATTAGTTTGTGTTTATTCATGTATCATACCATCCATCCCTTGTTGACAATCTCACCAGGCATTGCCATATAGGTTTTCATGCCTTGAGAAAGGTAGAGCCCGGTACTGACCCACTCTTCTCTGTCTAATGCATAAATAGAAACACACAATAATGTCAATTTAAGATAGCACTGAAGGTTGAACCTTCGAATGGTCAAACTAAAAAGGCCGTACCTGCTGTGTTGACATTCAAAGTGACCCTGTGATTATAGACAACGGGCAACAGGGGGTTCTCATTGATGAGGTAAGGCAACAGGCTGTCAGGATTGGGGCAAACCTTAAAGACCTCTGAACCCATGTTGAGCAGCAGATGGTCTTTGGGACTTTTCACTGGGCAGGTGTCACACACCTTAAAATAAATAAGAAATAAATAAACATTGGGGTGGTGGTTAAATGTAGTGCATGAAAGGTCTATCCGTTGACAGTATGTGATCGATCATATCTGTACATCAAGAAACATCAGCAATCAAAAACCTGATGAGCACACAGAGCTTTTCCTTGAGATGTCTACCTGAGGCATGCCCGATTTCTTCAGGACGTGCGTAAGGGTGGACAAGACCTGAGCGTATGAACAGCGATCATGGGCTTGCATTTTTAAGAAGGAGGCACAGTCCTTGCCAAACTTTTTAAGGCATTGCTCCTCGTTCTTGGTAAGATCCTCTCCCTCAGTCACATGAGCGGCAAAACGCTGCAAAAGGTGGCAGAAATGGTAGCTGTCTTTGCCAGTCTGGCTGGGTACAGGAGCTTTGAAGCGACCGCCCCCAATGGTTTCAGGCAAAAGGCTCAAGCCCATTTTATTCAGGATCTTGTTCCCTGCAATTACAACCAGTTTCTATTAGGATGTTCAGAAATTATCAAACATACAACAACAGGAGCTAAAAAGAACCTCATCACTCTTGTGGTGCAGCGTAATACCTGCGAATTCTGTCAAGGGATTTCCGCCTTTGTGTGACTGTGCCCAGTACCAAGCATGGCCACCAATCAGCAGACCTCCTCCCTCTGCCACAAAGTTGTGGATTTCTTCTGCGTGTTTGTCACTGTATGCCGAACACACAAACACACTCAGGTCATTCCTGAAGTCGCTCTTCTCACACCTTAACCCAGATTTCTTGAGATTGTCGAGGGCTTTATGTTGCAGGACGCCCACAGTGCCACGTCGCCCCGCATCCAACCAGTGAAGAGCATTGGTCCAAAATGGGGCCAGCTCCTGTGGTACACCGAACAAAATGTGTGTTCATCACATTTTTATGTTGTTGACACCATTTGGCAGATCGGCACACGGTTCTATTTGAAATGACGCGTAATAATACACAAAATTGACATAATCAATGTTTATTAACGTTACCTCTCGACCCAGATATGCTTCATGGCTCACAACAATAACACGTCCAAGCCCATAATAGGTGCCTGCCAGAAATGGCCGTCTATCTTCTGTCATTCCGATAGGGAAGGCCAGCCGTCCATGAACCAGAATCTCGGAAGCAATCGCGCCACCGGTAATGTCAAACTCAGATATCCCCTGAAGTAAGAATATCAGGTCATCTTCAAACTCCTTGTCCAGTCTGCATTTTAAGAACAAAGAAACATTTCAGTGGACCACATTTGGCCTCTGACTGGCCCTCACAGTTACCATGAAATCAAAGTAAAATGTGATTTTATTGTCAGTATTATTTGTCAGTAGTAATCTGAGCGCTGCCTCTGAGAATAAGATGTTCTTTTGTATTTCACTTAGAAATGTAAACAGTAAAGATCAAGGATAATTTGACAGAGGTATGGAAATAATCAAAATTGCAAAAGTATAATAAATTATGTAGACTGGAGAGGTCTAAAATATGATTATGCTAGTCATAATAATGCAAATCCACAAGCAATCCAGTCTCCAGAACATTTTACTATATAATAATCTTAGGATTTACATACACCACACGCAACCATGAGGCTGGAATCTGAGGGTAGACAGGCAACAATTCAGCTTCACCCGGATGTTGAGAGAAGTAGATGCCGGTCACAGCAGACACTTTGTTCCCTCCGAACCCAAGCAGTGTGTTCTCCTTTGGGTGGTCTGCGGCCCAACTCCAGGCTTGCCCTCCAATCAACACCCCTCCGCCGTTTTTCAGAAATGCCACCAAGTCCTTCCCATCTGTATTCAGGCTTAAGGCGTCTGTTACATAAACACCAAGATTCAGATTCCTCTGGAATGCCTGCACAACTTCAGTTTGGATTCTGGATCTGTTGAGACTATCAGCCACTGCCTTCACACTCTTGTTGACCCCCACTGACAGGTTGCGTGAGCCATCTCCTTTCAGCCAAGTCACTGCGTTTTCTACCAGAGCAGGAAATGTTGTCAAGTACCCTTCATGTCCCAGGACCACAATTCTTCCTGAGCCATACTGGGAGGCAGCCATCAGGACCTGGCCTTGGCTGTTCATCACCAAGGGAAATGCATGTTCTCCAGTCAGAAGGAGGGCACTGGGAACACAAGGGCCACGGAGGTCCAGCTCTCTCACACCACTCATCAGGGACAAAAATGCTCCCTCATTTTGACTTTTTTGGGTCGCCATGGTGTAAAGTGAATCTCTGCAATTAATTTCAGTCACAGGAAAAGTGAATTAAAAAATGTTCTCATAGATTAAAGATATTGTTAAATCTTACATCACATCAACCACGAGCATTCCAGAAAAGTAATTTAGTAGTTCTCTCTCAAGTGACACCAAAGTCCACACACTCTCACAAAAAGTCATATCCTTACCTGAGAGCTTGCAGCTGAAGCCAAGGAGCTGAAAGTGTGTCGGCCCACTGTACTTTATACTGAAGAAGTACAATAGAGGCGGGACGTCAGGGGCGAATAACCCACTCAGAGGCTTTTGACGAAGACCAGGAGCAAACACAATTGGATGATAACATGTCTCTCAGCTGAAGATTCTTTACGTTTTATCTTTTTCTCTTCGAGCCATACACCCTGTTGAACCTGTTAATCCAGTTTTATTTTGATGTAAGCCAGGTAAGGCAAATAAAGTAAGATCTCCCAAGGTTGGCCAACACCGCAGTCCAAACACAAATGGAGAATTTTTAAAAAGCCCGGACTGCAATTAGGTCTATATCAACACACAGTAGAGTCTTATTAAATGAATGCCTCTCTGACAAAAGAGATCAAAACAGTTCATTATTACTTCACAAGTGAGGTAAATAAGGTGCGTGCAAGTGTTGTTGGTGTTATTTTAATGTCGCCCCGTACCAAACTGTAATTGTTATCAAGGTTAAACGCTCAAGATTTGCAAGAAAAAAAAAAAAGAAACGTGAAACTACTCAAAACAAGTGCCTACTTACTTAGCTAACCGATTCCTCTTGTCTTGTTCATCCTCTTTTCCTCGTTAGAGAAAGTTAGGAAGTCAGTCATATTTAAGTGTCAGATAGATCTCAACGGAAGTAAGAATCTCGACGCGCACTGAACAAAACTGTAACGTTGATGTCGTTTGACCAAAATACAGGGTATATTTTAAATATTTATAAACAATGAATGCCACGCAAGAAAGAAAAAAAAAGATTGTAAACCAAACAATTTATCTTAATTATGTTTTTCTTGGAATACCCGAAACGTTTTCGCGGTCGGAACATAGCAACTCAACACGTTTCAGGGTGGAACTGTTATTGGGAAGGACCGATGAGACAAACAAGCACAGCCGACAGTTCACACTCAAGTTTTGCTCAAAACAACCGACCGTTCTTCAAGTTTGGAATACAAATGTTGTCGTCTAGATCTTCGCCACTTTAGTCTTCATTTTGGGGCTGCGTTGCTGAAATGTCGTGCGTTTTGGTTAGTTCATCTGGGGCTCAAATCCTTCTGGAGGATGGACGAGCCGTGTTGTTGGGTCGTGGACCCGATACCGGAGTCGTCGACAAAAAGTGCTCAAGACACCAAGGTGATTTTAACACTCGCGCGTTTCATGCTTTCTCTGCATTGCTCTTCAAATGGATAATGTGTCGTGTTTCACGGCGTTAATTGTGGTTGGCTTGAAGGCTACTGATCAACATTTAAAACAGCATTTAATTGGGACTGGAATTGTGTGTGGGTTTTTTTTTTTTGGTTATTTTGTCAAACAGGAACACAAATTTGAATTTGTTTAAACACAAGCGTTACGGTAGCCTGAACTGCAATTGAAAATACATATCACCGGCTTTTGTTAGTGTGTTTGATTCTGCGTGGTTGACAGTCATATGTTTCTTTCAGTGAAGGTGGTGGCTTGCTTTGCAGACCAGGATGTGGTTGTCACTCAGGTACGAAAACAAAACACTTTCGAGGCGGCAGTTGTAGCTTTGTTATTCTTGAAGAACAGTTCACCTCTCTTGTAAGACTGCAGCTCATTTTTATCTTCGCCTCAAGTGTCATTGTGGCCAAACAAGTGGTGATATTGCACTGCCTTTATGTACCCTTAATTTTATACATTTGATAACTGAATAAAATCTATAACACGATATTGGTATTCTTTCGCAGTTGGGTCCCAATCCCAGTTTCCTGGAGAGTGAGAAGCTTAGCCGTGGCCATTCTGGTAAACTCAGTCATGGTGACACCCTCTACCTGGTCAACCATGAATACCCATTCAAAGTGTGCTTCAACTCGAGCTCTGCTGGACCTTCTTTCATTACGGTACAAGGAAAGCTCAACAATTCGAACAAAACAAAAAGTGGTAAGAATGGGAATGAACAAAGTTCACCGTGGAGTCCACCTAAGCGCAGTATAAAGGATTTCTTTCCTACCTCTCCCATGAAGGTAAACTAATTTGTTTATTTTTTTAACTGCATATTGGAGGCAGACTTGTGACTCTCATCTTTCCAGTCATCAAAAAGGCCGCTTAGCCCAGAGAAAGGGCATCCTGATGCGAAGCGCCAAAGAGGAAATGAGGCCTCGGGTGAATGGGATAGAGAGGAGGTGAGCGAAGATGAGAATGAGAAACGAGCAGAAGAAAAGCTCAGGCAGCTCCAGGAGTTGGCAGAGTCAGCCATGAATGAGAAACGGAACAGGAGCCCAGCAGAAACCGGAGCCCAACCTACAATTTCTTCTTCCTCGGCCTGTGTAAAGAGCACTTGGCAGCAAATTGGCAACCTCATTCTTTACACTGCAGCAGGTGTCAGAGGGAGTGACAAGGTGGGCCCTAGTTGGATATGCCAACCTTAAAAAAAAAAAAAAAAAAAAAAACCCAAATAAAACATTTTTTACATTTAAGAGTACAACATTGGAATTATTGAACTGAATTAAAACATATGAAATGTTATTTATGTGTATTTGAAACGGATTTTTTCAGCATGAAATGTTCACTTTATGTTGTCAAATTAGGTCGTTCCCTAGTTTTGTCCATCTGTCAGGACACATGGTATCAAATGTTAGTGTTATTAATAATACTCATTGTTGCAATGTCTTCATCTCCAGATTGCTGGGTTTGACATTGATGGCTGCATTATCACCACTAAATCAGGCAAAGTCTTTCCCACAGCACCGGATGACTGGAAGTATGTCTGTTTTCCTGAAGCCTCCCGAATTCAAAATGAATCATCAAACATCCCAAGTGGATGAGGTTTTGTCTCGTTTCTGTGTATCATTGAACAGGATACTCTACCCTGAAATTCCGCCTCGGCTGGCCAGCTTAACCAAGAAAGGATACAAGGTGGGGGGAAGCAAAATGATTTTAACTTGACATATTGTTAGGGTATTAGCTATAGATAAACCACAGGCATTAAAACCTATTAAAACAGTAAATTTTAGTGTTGGTTCCCCCTTGCCGCACCCCTTTTCGTCTAGGTGGTGTTTTTCACCAATCAGATGGGGATCGCCAGAGGAAAACTGAGACCAGAAGTCTTCAAGTCGAAAGTGGAGGACATCCTCGCCACACTGGAGCTGCCTGTGCAGGTAAAGTTTCGGTCCCTGGCCTTTGAACAGGCAGGACTAACAATACCCACAGACGTTCCACAACTGCGGCTGAAATAGCGTGTGGCCATTTGAGATTGAATTCAAATGCATGATCAAAAGATTCTGCACCAGTGCAAACAATACCCACAATGATCCATCCATCTTCGCATCCGCTTATCCTCACAAAGGTCGCGAGGCATGCTGGATCCTATCCCGGCTGACTGCGCGTAATAGGCGGCGTTTTGGCAAGTTTTCAGTCATACGCTGATGAAGGAAAATTTCAACGCGCACTCGCCATCGGTTGAAGTTGTTGTTTGATAGGATTCGATGAAACTTGATGTTGATGGCAAAATTGTGTTGGTGGTGTCAAACAGTCAAGGGTTCATCTTAATCGTAGACATTTCAGTCCAAATGTCATGCCATGAAATGAGGTTAAAAAAAGGGGAGGGGGGCTTCAAAATCAAAATAATAAGCGTGCCTGCAGTAGTCTATACAATTTTCTCTTATCATTCCTTTATTGTTCGTGGGTTCGCGTCAGGTTCATTGCTCAAACAACATTTATGCACGTACACAAATGATGAGAGAAAACGTCCATATGTCATTTTCGCTTGCAAGGAGAATAGAAGAGGACTGTGCACAATTCTCTCAGCTATACTCAGCAGCTAAGAATCATTTATTTCCTCTAGAGATCCCCAGGTTACATAAAGGTGAGGCCTCTTAGGAGGAATTGGTGTCATCAGCAAACCGGCCACACCTTAAACTATTAAACCAAAATACATCATCGTTGTTCATTCTAACACACCCACACCAAAATGCATATACCTGATAAACACTTTTAATATGTCAATTCAGCATCATCAGAAATGCAGGAGGGTCGCCTCTGGCAGTTTCCTCAGATCTGATCGCCGACTGCAGATAACTTGAGACCAAGTGGAGATGAGCAGGTTTCGGTTCTCCTGCTTCTGACCTTTGCGCACAACATCACTCGCATAGCAGACTCCAATGTTTGATACGACTTTCACGGCAACAACAAATGTAAAATAAAACATCAGAAATCATACTGAAATCATGTGTTCCCAATTTTATTCCTTCAGTTCGTGCGGTTGAAAACGGTATGACCGGCGTTCCCACACACCTGTGCAGAATTCATGTTTGATGTGGGCACACCTACTGATGGCATCATCAATTGCCCAAGTGGTGGTATTGCCACATTGCATGACGCAATACAAAAACTGCTCCAATAGGCGGGGTGCACCCTGAACTGGTTGCCAGCCAATCACAGGGCACACATAGTCATACAACTATTCGTGTTCACACTCAAACCTAGAGACAATTTAGAGTGTTGAATCAGCCAAAACGAAGCATTATTTTTAAAGGCTCAATGTTTCATATTGCCGATGTTGGTGATCACTCTAGATTGTACAAATGTACCTAATATTATTGACAATTGGTCTACAGCCTTTACAGACCTCTTGATTAGATATACCTTGCTTGCACCAGTTTGAACTCGCTTTTGCACTCAATGATTTTCTTGGGTTTTTATTGGCCAGTAGATTGTGGAAAATACTTTTTGGATGTGGTTCATACTGAGAATCGTGTTACTGCATGTACCTTTTGGTTGGCAAATAAAGTAAAATGAGCTGTCTGAATGCATTCTGGATTCAAAATTAGAGCGATGTTCTTGTTGGTCGTGCAGTTAAAATGTCAAGTCAAGGCATATCAAGCTTTATCGTCAAATATGCTCAATGTGCAACATCATTTTTTTTTTTGTGCCCGCAAAGTTGATGTGTGAATTTTGGTCTATTTCAAAGGTGTTTGTTGCAGCTGGTCCAGGAATCTACAGGAAGCCAGCAGTGGGAATGTGGAATCACCTGTGTGAAAAGGTACATGACAGTCAAGCTCAATCAGACGAAAAACTGAAGTCGACACTAAAAGGATGTCTTGCAACAACTCAGATCAGTCTTGCGTGGTACTTTGAAACCATTCTATAGTACATAGCATGTACTCGTGTGTGTGCATTTTGAAGTTTGTTCTCTTTGTTGTATTATTTCACTGTTTCCTGTATAGGCAAATGATGGCGTTCCTGTGGACAAGACACAAAGTTTTTATGTTGGAGGTGAGCCTGTATAGGAAGTGTTTAATCCTTTGTCAGCATTATAGTACGTATATAGTTTCATCAGCAGTGTGGCCGCATTTTCCCTTGAAAAAGTAACTTAGTGATGTTACTGGTTACTTGATTTTACATGCAACTAAGTTAGATTAGCATATAACAATCAACAAGACAGTGGCAGAATTGCATTCTGGAGCATATTCCAGCAGCCAAAGTTATCTTCTTATTTTTCCTTAAAGATGCTGCAGGTAGACCTGAGAACTGGGCTCCAGGGAAGAAGAAGAAGGACTTCTCCTGCAGTGACCGACTGGTTAGACCGCTTTGTACTCTGCATGTTTTGTTGTTGTTGTTGTTTTAATTAAAACAATTATTTTTCATGTCTGCAGTTTTCCCTGAATCTTAGTCTGCAGTTTCACACTCCAGAGGAGTACTTCCTGGGCTGGAAGAGCGCCCCTTATAGTCTACCACAATTTGACCCTGTGAGTGATTTTAAAAATGTGAGGATCGGCTACATGGCAGGCAATACCAGATATATTGCACATATCCAAATTATCTAGATTTGTTTGCAATTTGAAATCTGCGTTTTAGAGAAAACTGGACTCCAGCATCAGGCTATATGACCCGCCGTCTGCGTCTCTCACCTCGAGCACGACAGAAGTCATTGTGGCTGTGGGTTTCCCTGCATGTATGTAAATGCTGCGAATGTTTCTCTGTGTGTCGAGCCTGCATCAGTCAACGGCATTCTCCAAATCGCATGGCTTTTTTTTTTTCCCAGCGGGCAAGTCCACATTCTTCCACACCCATATCATCCCAAAGGGTTATGCGTACATCAACAGGGTGAGTAGTCAGTGTGCCCCCTGCAAAATTCTAGACAATATTTATACCCCTCTGTGGTTATATAGTGTTGCAATGAAAATTATCCTCAAAACTCACTGCAAATTACATTTACAGGAGGTCCTCGATTCATGATACAGGCAAACCTTTGAGATTCCGGTTTTATTGGATTTAACTGCAACTTTTGATACAGTGGATCACAGTATTCTATTGGCTCGTTTGCAGCACCTGGTGGCCATTGGCGGTAGCGCCCTTGAGTGGTTTAGGTCCTATTTAGCTGATGGAACCTTTTGTGTTAGTCTTGATTGCTCTGAGGCACGAGTGTTCACACTGTATCTGCTTCATCTTAAGGAAACATGGTATTTCCTTCCACTGCTCTTGGTTGCTCTGACGCACGAGTGTTCTCACTGTATCTGCTCCATCTTAAGGAAACATGGTATTTCCTTCCACTGCTATGTGGATGACAGTCATATATATGTCCCACTGAGCAAAAAATACGCTTTCTCATTGAGACCACTTTTATCCTGTCCGGCGGAAATCAAGACCTGGATGGCACAACATTTCTTGAATTTCAATGAAAAGTAGACAGAAGTGATGGTTTTTGGTTCCAGTGGCCCTGGTCCATCCCATCCTGCGGACCTGGGCCCCCCTGTATCCTTATTTTAAGCCAACAGTCTCGAACTTGGGTCTTAAACTGGACAGTGTTTTTAAATTGGACGGGCAAATTAGCGCCGTTGTGAAATGTGTGTGTGTGTGTCTTCTTCAGGACACGCTTGGTTCGTGGCAGAACTGTGTGGCAGCATGTAAGCGTGCTCTGCAGGAGGGCCGCAGCGTCGCCGTAGACAACACCAACCCAGACCCCGAGTCTCGCAAACGGTAGCCCACAACGCAGCTTTCTCACAATACTCTCTTCTCTTTATTACTGTCGACTACAATGTAAAGCATCCATCAGCAAATTCAAAAGGATCATACTTTTCTTCTATACTGGCTGCATCAGACTGCTGTTATCACTGGATGCCACGGTTAAATGAATCATTTGTGTTTATGTAAGCTCAGATTCCCTTTATCTTTTTCAGTTACGTGGATGTGGCCAAGGCCGCAGGTGTATCCTGTCGCTGTTTTCACTTCTCAGCCACTCTGGAACAAGCCAAACACAACAATAGAGTATGATTCACCTTTCCACGCTGTCACGTGTGTTCTGTTGATTAAACTGTTACATTTTCTTTCCTAATGCTTTGTTGTTACTGTTGTTACCAGTTCCGCGAGATGGCGCCCTCAGACAGCAAACATGACAAAGTCAGTGACATTGTTTTCCAAAGCTATAAGTGAGTAACACCAGACAAGAACAATAATCTTTTTTTTCCCTCTTTTATTCCAGCAGTGTGTGAGTCCTTTCTAATGAACTCTCTCTGTCTCTCTTGCTTTCCCTTGACGAACAGGAAACACTTCGTGGCACCTGCTCTCTCTGAGGGATTCTCCGAGATCCTCAGCATCCACTTTGTCCCTGACTTTAAAGACAGCCAATCAGAAATCTTATTCCGACAATTCTCTGAAGGCTGATGGTCACAAACACATTTATGAACAACGAAAGAATCGGATTCTAAACGGCTAAGATGTGAGTGGTGGGATTGTGCCAGAAAGCAAGACACAAAGAAAAAATGGCAAGGTTGATTAAAGCAGAGTGTGCGGAATGAACAGCTTCATATTGCAGTGCATTATTTGTTTGATAAAATACATGTCTTACAACCTGACTGTAAGAGCTTTGCTGTCATACTTTGACAATAAGTACAGTAGGGCTGCAATTATTCTCTTAACAATCAATGAATCTGTCAATTTAATTTTTTTTTTCAATTAATCGCTCGTATGGGTTAACCGGACAGCTCTTTTCATATCTTGCTGGGTAATTGGCAAGTACGGATTTTGTTACCGTGATGCCCGTTGTACAAAATGTGGCTTCCGGCTTCTTTAAATGTATGCAATGTTTGTTTCATTTGGATTAAATGTATGCATTGTTGAATAGCGTCCTGAACAGTAAAACAAACGCACACATTCTATAAGGATGCATATTGTGTGTGATTCAACGGGGGTCATAACAAATGTGGTGAAATATATCCACAGGTTGGTTTGCCTTTTCTACTAGCACTTCTAATTCCACCATCGTGAATTAAATTTTAATCTATCAGATTACACTCGCTGTCGGCGGGAGTTTGCGCTTGTCGTCTATAAAGGTTCACACCCACATGCCCCAATCTAAAATTTAAAATTGCGCGTCTACTCACTCATATTCGGCGCGCTGTTTGCTATAGCCAAAAATGGTAGAGAGCGTCTGTAGTGTCTCAGGGTGAACACAAGGGGCGCTAGGTAAAGGTAGTGCGTAGTAATGAAGAAGAAGAAGTAACACGAAGAAGAACGCGGAGTCTCTGGTCGCTAAACAAGTTGGCGACACCGATGGCGACTCCGACGCTATGCTAGTGTTTTGCGCCAATGGTAGCTCCGATAGTTTTCAGCATGGAAACTTTGGAAGAGAACCGCAAGCGCAAAATGAAGTTTGGAGTGATGGAGTTGGCGGTGTTAGTAGAAGAGGCCAACAAGCATATTGGTGAGTTGCAGCAAAGAAATCTGAATATAAGCAGAAGAAACGCAATATGGGAGACAATCTGTAAGAAAGTCAATGCTGTAAGTAAAACAAGAAGAACGCTCGATGAGGTTAAGAAGAGATGGCAAGATATCCGAAGAAGAACAAAAGAAAAAATGGCTCAGAACAAATCGGCTGCCAATAAAACAGTTGGGGGACCGGTGCAAGACATACCTCTGTCTGCGATTTTGGAGCAGTTGCAGTTGACCTTCTGTGATGAGAACATCATTGGAATCGAAGAGTTTGACATCCTTGAACCAAAAACGGAACGCAAAGGTAGGCAGGCAGGCCCATGTTAAGTTCATTTTTTGTCTTCATGATTTCGCAGGATGTTGAATTTGCCGTTTGCTCAAGCTTAGCTGCACGTACAGTTATTGTCTACTGCACATATGTTCATGTTAATTTTGTGCAATAACGACTTGATAGGTCAATCTTTTCAGCGCACTTGTCCTTACAATTCTGTCCTATTCAATTCAAATTATTATTTTTTTTTTTAGAGACGACGTTAGAAGTTCCAGAATCAGCGCCGCACTCTAGTCAGCCAAAGTCACCAACTGGCATCTCTGCAGAGCCACAGAAGGATCCACCTTATGAGGACATAGACAAGGAGTTGCTACAGCAACAGAAAAATCAATCTGCAGCACTTCACAATGGCTTACAGTCCATTGTACAGGAGGTGAGAGCTGTGTCCTCTGTCATGCGTGCATCCAGAAGGGACACTCAGGCCGTTGTTGCACAGACCAGGCAACTAGCCAATGCTGTATCTGACCTGACGGCAGCCATCAATGTCCTGACAAGAGTGATAGAAAATGGGGTACGCGCAGTCGGGACTCAGAGGGCATTCTGTTCCAGTAGCCTCTCAACTGAGTCGCCGGCAAATGAAGAGGGACGGGATGGCGAAGGAACAGGTGAAAGTACATTACGCTCAGGTGAACCCCAACGTAACCTGCGGAAACGGAAAGCTTCAATGGATGAACCCATATCGACAAAAAGAATGTAGATTTGAACAATCTCAGTGTGAACATTTACTTCACAATTGAGGCTGGTTTTCCAGTCTTCGTGACTTAAAAGGGGCGTTTGCAATTTTCCCTAAAATCACTATGCCATGTTTGTTAAAACTGTCGGTATGACTTGCCAGTGGCACAAAGTACATTTTGTTTTATGAAACGTGAAAAGTGGGGAAGTGGAAAGGAAAGAAAAGCCTTTCTTTCATATACTGTATGTGTGTCTATATGTGTATTTATTTATTTATTATCAAGGTAAGTTTGCTGCTTAATATTTGCATATTGTTTGATGAAAAGTTGAGGTGGTACGGTCACAGATTTGGCTTACTGTTTATGACTTGCTGACATACGTTTACGCCACACTTGCGCTTTTGAATCTTGTGTATGTTGTCGTGAATGCTGAAAAGACTGCAAGTCAGAGTGTTTAGTAAGTTAACAACTCTAATGGAAGTCTATAAATAAACTGTCATTTCTCAATTCATGGTTCGGTTGCCTCTATTTTAATGTAAGCTTAACCTATAAGACCAAAACATTTATGAATAATAGATTGGATATGTATTGTAATACACATACATTGAAGTCAAGTGACATAACTTTGTAGGGTTGGCTGAGATAGGACACGTGGAGATTTTCGCGTACAATTCCATGTCATTTACACCAAATGGTTCTGTCCACACCTGCCCCGTATTGAAGCCTTTAATCCGCCACGTGAATAAAACATACTAGGTGATTTTTAGCAAATCGGAGATTATTGGGGTTTAACGGTTAGCCCCACCTTTCCGTGCCCCCCTTGCTTCAGGGCTTAGTCCTCTCAGCTGACTCAGCTTTGCTCAACACTGGGAAAGAGTTTTAAAAAGTATTTTGGAAGCTCTCGCTCTCTCTCTCGCCAAAATCACAAACCATGAGAAGTGTGCGGATATTGCGGAGGTTTTGAGATTTTTAACTTTTCTACTTGGAACATGTTGACAGATAGCCAACCTTGCACTCCTCTGATGCTCGCAAGGACTCTCATCACTGGAGCTCTACATTTGGACTAGTTCTTTTAACATTTTCTAATGGACACATGGAGTGTGCTTGGGTTCGCTAAGAGAGGAGCAGCGGACCAAAGATGTCGGCTCTCAACCAAGTTGTCATTGACTCAGACGCCTCAGACATTTACAGGGTGAGAAAGGTCCATCATGATGGTGATGCTGCTTACTTTGATAAGATCACTTGAATTAATGTTCTGAAATATCAGATAAGATGAGAAAGATAAGAAAACCTTTATTTGTCTCAGAATGGAGAAATTCCCAGATAATATTGTCTGCTTAAGTGCCTTGGATGTATTTTTCAACCTTTGTAAAAAGAAAATGAATGCGTTGACAGAGAATTTTGTTTACAGTGATTGAATATCAGATTCGGGGAGGTATTGATTTAATATTTACTTATTTAGCAACTTTATGTCTAAGCTAATTGTTCGAAACTTTTTGCAGTATCTTTCTGACGGTGACAAATATGACACAGCCCCCTTTATCGAACAATTTAAGAACGATATTGGAGGTAGAACCATCGTTTCCAGTGTTTGTGTACAATTGCATATTTTCTGTCGTCCTTTGTCCAAGAATGTGTTCTGCAATCCTGCCTTTGAGCTGGAGGGGGAGCTAGAGGAGCGGGAGGGATTTCGAATGACCACATCCACCCCTGAGCCAATCAAACCACCCACAACTGGTAGCGTTGCAAGTAAATAAAGATTCAAACCAACAAAAAAAACGTGTGTTACATGCGTCAAATCGCCTGTGTATTTTAGCATACAAACACGCAAACTGTTTGAGTGGTACTATAGACTACTGTTGTTCAATTCAACTCCTTCATATATAAGAATTGTTAAAAAATAAATAAATAAAATAAAATCGTTCACGTCTTGCCACAGTCCCTATAAAAAGTGTTTTTGTGTAAACGTTCAGGCCGAGGGTGAGGTCTCTTCGTGGTGTGTGCTCTTCCTTTGCGGAATGCAGGTTGTGGCTGGGGGAAGGTGGTGGTCTTTGCTGCTGCCCTGCTCCTGGTTGCGGCTCTCGGCCTGACACTGGCCCTCATCCTCACACGTGAGTGTCTGCTCCTTCTCAATTTATAGTTGTCCAATAATTTGGCACCTGATCACAAATATATATTCTCTATGCAAAGTTATTGTACTGCCGCTCTTATTTGTCACAAAGATGATCCATCCCAAGGAAGTTTTTTGTTGCGGGGCTCCTTTCATTTCCAGTGAATTCTCCGCCTTTTACCTTTTTTAAAGAGGAATTTGGAATTTTAAACCGATTTCACCTTTCTCTACCTCCTGTAATTTCCTGTTAAGTAGCCTACCCAATGATTGGTTTACCTTCATTTCATATCTTCACTCTTCTACACAATGAAGAAGTCGTTATAATCTTGAATTGCATTCTGTTCTGGGCGTAGAGATAAAAAGTCAAGAGGTTGACGAGCAGCTATTGTCCACCAGCCCTCCAGACCCGTTGAGTGCAGAAGGTGGCGAATTACCCTCCGGTCCTGCAAACGGAGGCCCGCAGGATAGTTTGCCAGTGCCCCACCCTGCGAGCATCCCCACGATTGAAACACGTAGGACACACAAACATATGCTCGCTAACATCTCCTCATTATTATAAAGGCTGTTACTTTTCTGGTTACGGGACCGACAGCTTACGCATCCTTTCAGGTTGTGGCGGAGTTTTGACTGATTCCGAAGGTTTTTTCAGCTCCCCAAACCACCCGGGCTCCTATCCCCCCAACACCTTATGCGTGTGGGTCATTCAAGCCACACCCCCTCACTTTATTCAAATCCATGTGTCCTCTTTGAATATTGAGGGTCCGGCTCCCTGTTTGTTTGACTGGCTGGAGGTACAGGAGCATGTGGAGCACAACGCCGTGGTCACGAGGTCAGTGGACCATAATTAACACGTACAGCACTGCACGAATAGAACTCACATATGTTGCGTGAAGGCTGTTTGTGTCCCTCCTTTAGGTTCTGTGGTGCCGTGGCTCCACCAACAGTCAACACGAACAGCAGCACAGTATGGGTGACGTTCCGCTCTGATGGCAGCATTGCAGGCAATGGCTTCTCAGCACAGTACAGGGCCTTGCTGCCTGGACACAGTCAGTGGTTTGTGTGCATGATAACAGACTAAAGGAAAGCGCCTCCTTTGATTTGTTACCTGCCTCTATGCACTATGCATAAGTGCCGCGTGCGTTTGCGTAATGGGCGGTTGTGTTGCTTGTTTTTAAGAAAGTTGTTCCAGAGATGAGTTCATGTGCGACGGTGGTCGCTGTCTGCTGCCTGCGTCTGTGTGTGACGGCCATCCCAATTGCCATGACCAAAAAGATGAAGCCAACTGCAGCAATAAACACAGTGGTGACAGATTGTTCAATAAACACTTTATTCATTTATTCTATTGTGATTTAACATGCACTCTGCCAAGATAGAATTTACACGATAGAGTGGCAGAATCCGAATCCGTTTCTGGCAAATGAAGTGACGACACCTTCCAAACTGTCAGAGGGGGGACACTGATGACCTTGTTGTTGTTGTTTTTTTTTTTTTTAATTTCCAACGATTTAGGTTTGCGCAATGACACCACCAAAACAAAACTCGTGTCCCAAGACTTTTGCACAGTATTGTAGCCTCAATAAATTCCTTCAAGATACCGTGTGTAGAATAGCGTCATCTAGTGGTGAACTAATAGAATGCGAGCCTTCATAATGGTGGTAATTCCGTAATTCCTGAATAGCCACTGATGTTTATCCACAGAATGTGGCGGACAAAAGATTGGGCCATACGGCTTCCTGGCAAGTCCAAACCACCCCAGCCCATACCCTCACCAGCAGGTACATTCACTATTCTGTTCTGGTAACCTAACTTCAAAAAAAAAAAAAAAAAAAAAAAACATTAAAAGACCATTCCAGCTATCCTACATGCCCTTGTTTGCCCTTAGCTTTGTGTATGGCACATAGCTGTTGAGGAGGGTCACGTCGTCATGCTGCGCTTTAAAAACTTCAGTCTGGAGGCTCAGGACGTGTGCGAGTTTGACTATGTGGAGGTGCATGATGGCAGCGACGCTGGAGCTGGTAGAGTTCTGGGAAGGTAACACGTATCAGTATTGTGGTATTAAACTGACCATTCATTAAATCCAAAGTGGTCGAGTGTGTCCTGGTTGACGAAGAGTCTCTCCCCTCAACACTTTGGTGCACCTTACGTGCTTGTTTCACTTCCCTTACCTTTGTCACCTGCAACGTGATAGCCTGATGATTCCGGGTTGCGTAATTGTGTGTTTTCCGTGACAGGTTTTGTGGCACCACCCTCCCACCAGATTTGACCTCGTCCGGCCAGCACATGACTGTCCTGTTTGTGGCTGACGAGGGAGTGGCTGACAGCGGCTTTAACGCGACGTATCAGTCCGTGTCCCTGCTGGATCGTGAGTTCTTCCTCTCAAAGTCATATTTTGTACATCAGGGGTGTCAAACTCATTTTTGTCGTGGGCGACATTTTAGTTACCGTTTCCCTTGGAGGGCTGTTATGACTGAAACCACATAAAAAAAAGTCAATAATAATGGTTTATTCAACGATTGTTTAAGTTACTGTAATGAAGGGGTTTGGTCATAAGAAAATGCTGACAATATGTCTCTTATTTCTTACATATGCGAATTTTAAATTTTGGTTGAGAATTTAGCAAGCATCATGGAAGTTGACATGTTTGATGTGCTTTCGCGGGCCGCATAAAATGATGTGGCGGGCCAGATCTGGCCCCCGGGCCTTGAGTTTGACACCTGTGCTGTACATAGAACTTACTTTCATCTTTTCTGAAACTGGACCGCGTATGCCCAGCTGTTCTAACTTGCTCCGGTTCTCGAGCAAGGAAGTGTATTGCCACTCACGACAAGTGTTTGATCAATTAATTGACTAGTTTCTTGTCTTTGGATTTTGAAAGGGACTTGCGGGCCGAGGCAGTTTGCCTGCAGTACCGGCGAGTGTCTTCATCCACAGTGGTTGTGTGACGGCTGGAATGACTGCCCCGATGGAGCAGATGAACAGGATTGTGGCAACTCCACCTACCCTCCCTTCAGTGAGTAAATACGACCGCTGACCTCGATCAGAGTCTGTGACAATCACATACTTTTTTTCTTGTTTTTGTTTCTCCGGTTTCTGTCCCCCGAAAATGTGAACCCTGACCTTTTTGTAATTCTTTTGAGCAGAGGTCTTGACTTTGCTGGAATAAGCTATTTTCTCAATGCCACCAGCTTCACCGTGTGAGTCAATAGACGTGGAGATGTGTCTGGGTCTCAGTTACAACCTCACCTCATTCCCCAACATATGGCTCGCCATCGCCGATCAGAGAGAAGCTGCCACACTTCTGCGACAGTACAGGGTATCTCGGCTACCACTGCATTCTCGTTAAATTTAGCTTTTTTTGTCACAGTAGGCGCTACTTAGGCCACTTTGAACACACGCCTCAGTCAAGACTTCAGGTTCCAGGACAGAAGTGCATCTCATCTGAAACTCTTTCCTCTGTGGTCTTGGCAAAGGTTTTGATGGAGCTAGCCTGCTTCGAGCCCTTGCGGAAACTCATTTGTGGGATGTTCTTGCCGCAGTGCAGCCCTCATGGAGGCGTCCTGCAACCCTGCCGCTCTGTTTGCTTGTCGGCTGAGCAGCAGTGCAGCCAAGCCTTGGACCTTTTCTCCTTCAGCTGGCCCTTCAACTGTCACCTCCTGCCCGACACACAGGACCCCATGGAGTGCTCACTGCCTTGATCACTACACCAAAAAACAAAAAAAGAGGGTTTTAATTGTTTTGGGGTCTGGTTGGAAGCTTGAGGACTGACAGATTTTAAGTGAATACAAAAGCTTTCCCGCAGTTCTGATATTGTCATTTACATCCTGGCCAGTGATTGTTTGAAAGACAGCAACCTCGCAGAAGCTTATTGTAATCGTGAAAGGCACTGATAAACACCAAATCCACGGATATTACAAACTCTATTGTATTCATAGTGCACATCAAAAACGACAGCTGAAAAAAAAGTTTGTCATCTATGTTCATCACAATCCAGTTCAACGTTAACTTAAAATTAAACATCGATGTAGTAGTGCAAAAATTGGAGTCCTCACAATGAGGTACAGCACTAAAAACAACAGGAGCCCAAAGGAGTCAAGTCATTTTGGGAAAGGTAAAAAACTTAGATGACCAAAGTCCCCGCAACCCCCAGAAAGACAAACACAAACTTGAATATCCACTGAAATTCCGATGATTATATCGGCTGGGCTCTTATCTGCAAAACCTGTCCAGTACAGTATTCCAATTGGTCTATTTGCACCATTTAAAGTATGAGGAATAAAAACGACACGCAGAAAATGTGTTCAGATGATCTTTAATGCATTTGTGCTTGAACATGCCACATCGTGATATATGATCTTAAACGGTTTGAGGTTTGAGCTTATGTGAGGTAAAAAACACTATCAGGGAAAATAAATAGCTGTGAATCATTGAGCACACAAATTGTCTTATTAACTTATACAACCAATGGGAACTCATTTAATCAATTCATTCCATTCCATCAGTCAGCAGATGACCTTATTGCAAGATGTGTCACAACTCATAAAACTGTTGCTTGCATGTGGTTGACTTCAATCAAAGAAACTCTGGCAAAACAAGTAAAAATGTCCAGAAAAAAAAACCAAACAGTTGAAGCTTGATTGCACATTAGTAAATATGAACTCTGAGCAAAACAATGAATGAGCTTCACTGCAGATGTGACGGAATCAGAAGTTTTAGGGTTTGATCTAAGGCAACGGCGGTGAGGCCCCACACACGATGCTTCCCATTACGAAACACTGGCAGGGTGTATCCATACTTGTCCCCTGTGCGAAAGTGCGTGTACCCGCGGTTTTGAGGGTCACATAAATGGGACAAAGACAAATTAAAAATCTCCTCCACCTGAAAACCAAGGACAAAAAGAGAATGTCTTAAAAAAAAAGGAGACAAAAAATGTGAGCTGTTGTTTCATTTTTGACATTATTAAAATGTGCTCTGGATGGGAGGTATTTTGGGGGGTAGACTTGTGCAGCAGTGTGGACAGCATTTAAGGAGTTAAGAAAAAAAAAACATATTGTACTGAAGAGCCACCTGGGGCTATTCAGTAAGCGGCAATGTACAGCATGACTTTACCTCTCCGGGATTTGGTTTGAAGGACAGCTCCTCAAGAGGGCCGACGTAAGCCAACACAGGAGCCACCAACATCCCTGACTGAGAAAAGGTCAAATCACAAGTCACATGATAAAGCGTCATCATCAAGTGGGGGCACGCTTTCACACAACTCATATGGAGTCCGCATTTAAATAATGACTGTTACAGCTTTGATAACTTGGCCCGATAGGTGGAAATCTGGTTCTAAGTTCCCATTTGGGGCACAGATCGAGTAGACGGATACTAAAGTCAGTTTCAACAGCCCATGGGTAGAAGATGTGTTTGTGAGCCGTTTTTGTTCCAAGTGTCCCACATGAATGTAAATCTAAATTGTCTTCCTTAAAACTCACCTTGTCCCTGAGAGGCTTGAGGACTCCCCATACACTTTCTGTTGACACGTTAATGCCAAGTTCCTCCCTGGCCTCCCTCAGCGCAGTGGCCACCACATCACTGTCTGACGGGTCACTCTTTCCCCCTGCAAAGCTACACAGATACGGAAATGAGGACATGCTGTGTGCGAAAGATTTCCCACTTGCTGCTACTAACCTGACATCTCCCTTGTGCCTGCCCTGCAACATGCTGGAGCGCAGCGTGAAGAGAAATGCTGCTTCTCCCCCTACACTGCAGAGTGACACCAGAATGGACGCCCATCTCCCCTGATTCTTTCCTTGGCTCTGACCTCTTCTCCCCGTCTCCACATTATACATCTTCAAATTGGGCGCCAGGTCCCGTCGACACCTATTTTCATTTTCCAGAGCGAGACACTGACTCCAGACTCCATGAACTGCTCTGGTTTGATGAGAAGAGAGGCTGTAGGCTTGTACTCTACTGTGAACATTTTCTAACCACTGCAAAGCGCTAACAGCTGTCATCTTTCTGAAGCAGGAATGACGACAGTAAATTGTATTGTTTAAATTGTGTAAAGCATGACAAATAACCCCAAATCTGCTTCGAGGTAGATGGCAAGTTGTGCTTGATAAGCGGTCCTGAGTATTCACAGTTTTCTTGTGCTTCGAAGGAGACTTGGCCGGATCTGTGGATTTCAGGTTTCGTAATGAGGCCTCTTCCCTTACTTCACTGTCACATTGTGAGTTAAAAAGAGATGGTTTTGTTGGACAGGATGCAGTCTCTGTGGAGAGTAACCATAATGTCCGTTTTCCATTGACGCCTTCAAGCCTAAATCCATTCAAAAGCCATCGAGCGTGGGTACAGGTAGACACATTCAGTCGTAGATGTGACCTTAACGGACAAGAGCTGGTCACGAGGTATGAGCCCCAAAACATTCTGTAAAAACAAGAAAAAAAAAACAACATATATATTAGTTTATATTATTATCGTTTATATTATATTTCATTATATATATTAAACTCTGCGGATGACTTAAATATTGAGAGGTAAAGTTAATTGCAGTTAAGCTATTGGTTGTCTGTACTTTTGACTTTTACGTCAGTGAAGGTGGAGAATCAATATTTTGGTTTACACCCGTATCTTTGCGTCTGCTCTAAGTATAGGGTGCGAGTACGGTTTTTATTTTATTATTATCATTATTTTTTGCGTTGCTAAACAAACTACAGCGAGTCAAGCAATCATATAAGAACATGAATGAACGTCTTGGTACAACCGAATGCACGTCCTTCCGGAAGAGGTGAGTTGAACTCTCAAAGCCCGTTGGTGGTGCTCTGGGGTTGCCCTTTACACAGCCAGAAAATATATCCAATTCGTGTACGTAATGCGGACATGTCCGCAAAAACGGCGTGTACGTGTGTGAATTCCCACCTAATCACACGACTACAATTACTGACGAAAATAGATGCAGTGTTTACTAATCCGGCGACCAAGTTCATGTCAGGTAGCTGGATAATGCGTTAGCATGATGTGAAGCTGTTGGAAGTAATTACAAAACGTAAGGTGACGTGTAACAAGGTTCCTGTATGCCGCGTAAGGCTGCATAGTCGGCAAAAATCATACCGGAGAAGAGGATTTATTTGGAAAGAAACTCACCTTCGTTGAAAGTTGAATCCACAGCATTTAGACGACTGCAACTCTAATAGTGATGGCGCAGCGGAGCTTCGAGATCGTCACTGTTGCCATTACTGCGCAGTCATGACGCAAAGCTGGTTTAAAAACATATTGAAGTCACCGTTATTTTCATAGCACATTTCATACCGCATAGTCATAAGGAAGGATAATACAATAGAAAAAGAACGTGTAAAGATGGATAAGGATGTAAAAACACAAAAATAAAACGAGATGTTGTACAAAAATGTAAATGAATGAATGGATGATACAAAAGTAGTCGAACGCCGAGATAAGATAAACCAGCGCGCCGTTGCAGCCCGCCCTACGGACGTGCCAATGTGGCGGCCATGTTGGGAGGGACAGCGTTGCTATCAACGGCAATGCATTTACAATGATATTAAGTCGTAACCTTCTCATATCGCAACCGATTTTGATAAGTTTATTTGTATTGGAAGTACTGTCATTTCCAAACATGTGCTATGATTTCTCTCTCTCTCTCTCTCTCTCTCTCTCTCTCTCTCTCTCTCTCTCTCTCTCTCTCTCTCTCTCTCGCTCTCTCTCTTTCTCTCTCCATATATATACTGTATATATATAAATATATACTGTAGATATGCATTTCAAAACAATGAAAAACGATTTCAAAATATAAAGAAAGAGAAGCCTTGACGTGTGTGTGTGTGTGTGTGTGAGTGTGTGTGAGAGAGAGAGAGAGAGAGAGAATTCTAACATGAAATTCTATTCTATCATGAAAAACATTTTCATTATTTGCACTAAAATAAAACAAGAGTTTTTCAGATTACCGTTTACTTTTTTCCCCACAAACAATTCCCCAAAACAAACAAATGACCATTTCCAGAAACTCAGAACAGGTTTTATCAGTTTCACGCCAAGTCAAACCTGTTCCAGTTTCTAAGCAGCAAGTGAATCACTCAACTTTGTATTTTATTCATCCAGTGTGTTTTGTCCCTCTTAGGGAACAGTTGGGTTCGGATAAACTTTTACCTCGAAAAGCAAACCTCTGGCTTGCATCACAGCACCCAATGGCCTCAGCGTGGTCTGAAGAGGAGACCTTTGTCTGCTCAGTCTGTTTGGAGACCCTGAAGGATCCTGCAACTCTACCCTGTGGACATTCTTATTGTTTGGCTTGTATCCAGAGTCATTGGGACAAAGGGAACAGCAAGGGCCAGTACAGCTGCCCCCAATGCAGGCAGATCTTCAAGCCTCGGCCTACACTGGCAAAGAGCACACTCCTCGTGGAAGCTATGGAGAAGCTCAGGACCAATAGTCTCAAGCAAAGTCCCTCTGCGACTGGTTCCTCCGCTCCACCATCAGAACCCATCTATCTGGAGATTCTTCCAGATACTGGCACGCGGCACGGCGGTGTGTATCCTCAGCTTCCCGCCATGGCTGCCAGGCCCTGCCCTCAGCATAACCAGCCCTTGAATCTGTTTTGCCACACTGACAGGGAATGTGTGTGTGTGGTCTGTTGCCAACATGGACACAAAGGGCATCGTGTACTCAAACCCGAAGAAGAGAGGAAGGAGAGACAAGTATGTGCAAATTGAAGAATTTTGAAAACACTGACAGCATGGCGTTTGATGTGCATTACTTCAGCTAATAACTATTTTTTATTTTATTTTTTTGTAGAAAGAGCTCACTCAGATGCAGGGAGAGGTGGTGAGGCGAGGCCGGGAGACAGAGAAAACTCTGAAGGAACTCCCGAATGTTGCCCGTCAACACAAAGTATGATTCATTCGAATGTGTATATTTGAGGATAAATTTCACATCCTCGGTTTTGTCTGTCTATTGTGTCAATACATCTCATTTCAAGTGAAATCATTGGTAGTGCATTGATTCTCATGGCTGACTTTGGATCACAAACGCCTGTTGTGGCAAAGCAAGGATGTCATCCACCTTTCAATTTGCAGGGGAAGCCAATATTAATCAGAATGCCATCTTTAGAGTAGTGGGGCGCATAGAACATATTATTGTGACAAAAATTTGGATGCAATTTCACCTTAGGCCTGCTGGGCGGGAAGCTCTTGCATTAACTTTAAACGTGTACATAAGCTGTATTCAAAATGGATAGATTGATGTAAGTTGTTGCAATTCCTCATCTTTCTATTTCCAGGCTTTGGTTCAGGCTATGCAACAAGAGAGACTGGATTTGTTTTCTGATCTTGTCAATGTCATTACTCTCACCGGCACTCAAGTCGGTGAGCTTCTCTGCACTCATGAGCGATCTTTCGGAAGCCAAATTGAGGGCCATATTCACAGACTGGAACAGGAGATAGTACAGCTTCATTGGAAGGGGGAGGAGCTGAAGAGGCTATCAGACATGCAGGACCATATCTGCTTCTTAAAGGTAGTAGAGCATCAAATGGTACGCTGTATCACTGATTTGGTTTTCGCTGACCTTTTACAGATAACCGATTGTTGTTTTGGCAAAGTGTAATGTGTGTGTGTGTGTGTGTGTGTGTGTGTGTGTGTGTGTGTGTGTGTGTGTGTGTGTGTGATTAATGTTACCTGTTGAGAATTTCCTCACGATGGAGAAGGCAGGTGCAACTGACGGCACCCAAGAATCGATTCTGTGCAAAGAGGACGCGGTGGTAGCTGATGTCCGCTCGGTCTTAAAGGAGCTTCAAGAGTCCATAAAAGAACTCTGCCGATCCAGTCTTGCCAAACTTGTCACTTTAGGTCAGTTTAGATTTTCCGCCCTCACTCCTGTCCCCTCTTGATATCAAGTGGACTTTTATCGCTGTAGTGAATGAGGAGCCTGTGGCCTCGAAAACTGAAGGTGCCACGGCCCCGGACATAATGACAGCCGATGGCTTTGTGCAAAACACGGGTGAAGGTAAATTAGCACAGCACCAAAGTTTCTCTCAATATTACAAACAATAAACACTAAAAATCTTGTTTTTATTTTTATTCCTGTAGTGTATGAGATGCAAAATCCTGCACCTGCACCTTTACTACGACCCCAAGGTAAGTGATAATCATGAAGCTGTACACGCTTGACTGTATGACCATTTTTTTGAAGACATGAGCCATGTTACTCTCATCTTATTGCAACACTAAACAGTTCCCCATATGCCAAAGATATTGACATTGTTTGGCTTCCGCCTTTGTTTTATACACTTTTTAAGTTGTCTTACATTAATCAATTGCAAGATAGAAGGGGAAAATTAATAATGGGACCCAATTTGGATATTTTTGCTTTAAGGGGTGTACTCACTGAAGTTCCCAGACCTTAATGCACAGTTCAGACATGGATGGCCGTGTGTTGAGGGAACATTTGATTCATACTGTTACACAAGCTGTACACAGACTATTTTGCAAAGTGCCATTTAATCAATGTTGTCACCATGTAAAGATGGAATCATTTCAAACATGTGAAGGGCGTATTCGCTTTTATGAGTTGCTGCATAACCGTATGATGTGAAGCGGAACGCTAAGCCTTGCGGTGTTGTAATGCCTTTCTTCATTGCTACTGAGTACAATTGACTTGTGATGCATTGAATTGATTCAGCCTCTGCCAATGAAGCGTCAGCACCGCCTCCACCATTCCCCCAGTCTCAACCTCAAGGTGACTAACAAGGTGCAAGTGGCTCCCTTGACAACCTTGCCACATTTAACACATTCACCCTCTCCTTTGTGTTCTAAGCACCTCCTGTCACAACAATGGGACTTGTAAGCCCAGAACCAAAGACGAGAGAAGAATTACTGAAATGTGAGTCCATTTTTTTCCTCCAGTTTCAAGAGTAAAAGAGAGAATCTATAGTGTACTCCTTGCGAAGAGCTTTAGGTGGTTCCATAGTCTTAATTAAAAAGATTTTTTTTTTTTTTTTTTTTTACCCTTCAGTTCACTTTGAGCCCACAATGGACCCCAACACAGTGTATCGCCATATACAACTTTCGGAGGGCGGTCGTAAGGCCACACTGCGTGCAGAGAACCTGAACCCAGTGGACCACCCGGAACGCTTCCTCTACTGGCGACAGCTTCTCTGCAGAGAGCCACTGGGAGGCAGCCCATACTACTGGGAGGTGGAGTGGACTGGCTCGAAGGTGATCTTAGCTAGACTACACATCAGCAAACACAAATATCATCCACACCGTTGGGGAATTGATGGGGGGGACTACAGACTTCCAAACTATTAAACTATTGAAAATGGGGTTCAGTATGGTGTAGCTGACTGCTTCTTAAAATTCACAGCGGATGACTTTTGCACTAGGGATGAGACAACCATTTGCGGTTAAAGAGTGGTTCCATCTTTATTCAAATTGGAAAAAGAAAACATGAATTCCTCTATTCACATTTTACCTGAAATGGGTAGCAAAATGTAGTCACATTTTTTTTCCAAGCAGGTGGCAGTCCTGAAATGTTTACAAATATCCGTGTTGTAGTTTTTGGATGATACACAATTGTTTTTTTGCCAGGAAGAAAAATTTGAATTAGAATTTCCGCTTTCTCATTATTCAGATTACCATTGGAGTAGCGTACAAGGATATGGATCGCCAGTCTTCTGATGACAAAAGCCGTTTGGGCCACAATCCTCGTTCCTGGAGCTTGTACTGGTCTGGGACCGGTTTCTCATTCTGGCACGATGGCCAGGAAAAACTCCTGGGTTCACCCAAAGGCAGACGGATTGGAACCTATCTGGACCAGCATGCAGGCATTTTGGCTTTTTATCGCATCACCAATGAACAAGCTCACCTCATCCACAGACATGTGACCCAGTTCAGCGGTCCGCTTTACCCGGCGTTCCGGTTCTGGGGTGGAGTTGGTGCTACTGTAAAAATTAGCCAGATGGATTGAAATACAAATGTAAAAAGAATATGCAGTTGATTGAAATACAACTTGGTTGCAATCGCAATATGATTCCCCACCCCGCCCCTCTGCTGCACACTGTGTCCTAATTTATGTACCGGTCACAAAAATATAGTGATAATAAACAGAAATAAAAGAATTCATCGCATGCAGCTTATCAGTTTTATTTTATTTGTATATTCTGATCAAGCAAATGATATAAACCTTCAAACAGTGAATCCTCGTTTATCACGGCGTTCACATTCCAAAAAGAACCCGTGATAGGCGAAATCCGTGAAGTAATCAGCTTTATTTTTTGTTTCAAATTATTATTAAATACTATACTACAGAATGTAAATGTAAATATTTTCTTACAAATAACTATGATAGTTTTTTTAAAAAAAAGAAATACTGTAAACTAATCATTTTAATAGTAAATACGAGGTTGGACACGTTGTGACTCATGCATATTTCGCAGTTCCTCTGACTTTATTTATTATTCTTATTTTTTTATTCTGTTTTCTGAATGTGGGAGGAAAAAAACCCCGCAGGCACGGGGAGAACATGCAAACTCCACACAGGAAGGCCGGAGTCGAACCTTGCACCTCTGCACTGTGAGGGCAATGTGCTAACCTGTCATATATCACATCAGTGAAAAAAAATAAAAAAATAATAAATGTGAGAGAGGTTTGGTTGAATCTGAATACTTCATTAATATTGCTGTTGTTAAGTAAAGGTGTCATGTTTTAATCCTGGGTCGCATCATAGTTACGGTTGCCGAAAAGGGCAGATACAGTTTCAACAGTCACACCCAGTGATGAGCGTCATTTCCTAACAAGGCCTCCTCCCTCTGTTGGCCTGAATGTTGTCAAAAGCATTGACCTTCATGAACAACTTATATCCTAAAATCTGTTTCCAAATATCCATACTCATCATTTCACAGCGTTACTCTTGGCTGCACTACTTCCAGGGTGCGTTGGCAATTTTTTTATGTTACATTTTTATTTTTTTTTAATTTTTTTTTTAAGGAAATGAGTCATGCAGACGAGTGGAACTGTTTGAAAACGGTGAATTATTATGCTATAAAAACACTAATAATGTCCCCCCCCCACACACACACATACGGTATGACTTGTGACTAGTGAAATCTGCTGAGCCACTCTGGGTGTGTTTACGGACTAGACAAGTAGTTTGAGCGTGAGGCATTTAGACTTGCCCTTTACCTAATATGTTCTTTTGGGAGCACGAATAATCACCCCATCATATTACGTAATTGTCTCTGGATTGATTACTATCATTTTCACTGCTAGTTAAGCGAGAGAGCAGGGCGACTCTTGTTTTTTTTCACTGTTAGTATTTTTCGACGACACTTTCTTCACATTTCAAAATTCTACACACATCACACCCCACGATGACAAGATGGAAAAATATTTTGGGAAAGCTTTCCAAATGTATTCATAATCTGAAATGAAGACTTACATGCGCAGTCACATAATTATTCAAAATGTGAGGAAAAACAAAAATGTGCATTTCAAACACATACAACAAACGCACGATTCATAGACAAACTGCACCGACATGCAATTGTAGTTGGGGGCTTGCCACGCTTTGTCATTGTTACATGAAAACTACGTTAAAATAGTGTTGCAATAACATGCAAGGTTCACTGAAGGCAACGAATTTCCAGCTGGTGAAAATGTAAATAAATTGTCATCTGTCGCTATGACCCTTCGATTGACAGGAGGTCAGTGGAGGATTTATTCCCGTTGAAATTTTAAATCAGGCATGTTCAGCTCCAGTTCTCGTGGGTCGCTGTCCTGCCTGTTTTTCTTTGCTCCCTGCTGAAACACACCTGATTCGAATGATCAGCAAGCTCTGAATGAGAACAATCCTCCTCATTTCAATCGGGTGTGTTGCAGCAGGGACAGATGGAAAAGAGGCAGGACGGTGGCCCGCGAGGACCGACTTTGGACGCCGCTGCTTTAATTCAAGTGGGACAGGCTCACCCCCACCCCTATTTTGTTTTTGGAGGATAGAGCTGCGCAAAAATATCTTTATAATAGAATGTCATTCTATCACACTCACACACTTCAGACTCTTGGAACTATTTCTTACCGGCAGGTAAGGGAGCGCGTTGACCTAGCCGGTTGAGTTGAAGCACCTGTGGCTAAAGCCAAACTCTGGCAGCGTTTTCACTTTCTGGACCGAGATTTGATACCTCTGACAACCGGACACAGTGAGCTCACATGACTTCCAACTCTCTCATGCAGCCAGCCACTCAGAGTGATGAGGGATGCAGTGCAAGTATTTCGGGAATTCCCTTTGCGCGGCTGCCGCCTGCGCTTCGCATGGAGGAGCTCTACCCAAATAAGGCTGGACATTTGTACTGCGCTGATGGAGTGGGAAGCAGTAGCAGGGAGCTGGTAAAGGCCATGCCCTTTTTAGGATGAACTTTCCTTTTTTCCCCTTCCCATCCAAGCCCTCCTATTTCCACTTGACACGCCCTCCGTCCACCGCACCCACCCGCTCAAATGTTTCTGTCATTAAATCGTCTGCCCCTTTTAAGCCAGCTTTTTTAAGGAAGGAGATCTCCGCAAAGAAAAGAGCCACACTCCACTACCAGCTGCACAGTCGGCCAGCAGAGAGCAGATCCATTCCCTCACTGTGAGTAGTAATTATGTTCATTCACATCTCAACAAATTTCTGAGCACACTGATTTTCCTCGAGAAGTAATTGATGGCCTATTGACCGACAAAGGAGGCAACAGGCCTGTGTCAAATGGTCACGGGATGCAGCGACCATTTTCTTACCTTTTATTTAGCGGAGTGCTGTATTAGGCAGAGTGTGTTTTGCTGCTAATTAACCAGGGCCTCTTAAAGTCCGTCACGTGTGTTGTCTCCTTTAGCAAGCAGGGTCTTTTAGGTGTTTTTAGTGTGACCACAATGACCCGACCCGGACATGCAGGCTCGCAGGGTTTCCAGGTGGGGCAAGGAGATGACTTATGAGAGATGCATTCATCTAATCAGGGGGTCGGCAACCTGCGGCTCAAGAGCCGCATGTGTCTCTTTAACGTTGTCCTAGTGGCTCCGTGGAGCTTTCTCAAAAATGTTTGAAAATTGAAAAAGAAGGGGAAGGGAAATATTGTTTGTTTTAATATGGTTTCTGTAAGAGGACAAACAGGACACAAACATTCTTAACGTTTTCCAATGCTGTAAAAATGTGTAGAAATGTGTTGCCTTCATTATAAGGCTTTTAATTTTTTGCGGCTGCAGACATATTATTTTTTTCAGGTTTTTTTTGGTCCAATATGGCTCTTTCAACATTTTGGGTTGCTGACCCCTGATCTAATCTCAGCAGACAATCAAGAAAATTGCCTCCACCAGCACAAGTTTTGTCCACCATTGGAACAAAGTGATGAAGAACAAGAAAACCAAGGCCCACACGCTCAACTGTCCACATTTTTGCGCATTATTACCTCCTGTTAAGCACACTGTGTCCATATAGGATCATCAGGGGCTGATATGACTGTGGTGGCTAGGCTGCATGACGCAATGCAGCGAATGCCTCATTTACCACAGCTGGAAACGCCGGTTTCCTGTCCTCGCTCTTGGCCGACTCGGCCATGGAAACAGCTAACCTCAGCAGGAAAACACAGCTGCACAGAAGCGCAGAATAAAAAATAGCAGAAAATTATAAGCAGGCCCTTTACCATACTTGCTTATGTGTTGCCACTGTGCAACTGATGTGCTTTCTGGGAGATGTCTTGTAGTGTTTGAGGAAGCAGCCAGACCACACCAAAGTTTGTTGGACTCGGCCATCTTGAGTTATGGGCTCAATCACAAGAATAACAATATCCTCCCAAAACCACAAAATGGGACAATATTTGACTTATTCATTTTTTTTAATTATATTTTTTGACATTGACTGCAAAAAAAAGAAAAAAGTGTGGGGTTGGCTTGAAAGTGACAAGGGCTGGCCTTCTCCACGCCCATGCCGCCATGTATCTCCGCCAATGACACAAAGCAGTTGAAGGCGGTGTTGCCCGTCTAACATTTGGTGCGTTAACCCTGACTATTTTGAACCTACCCAGGAACAGGAAAGTGAAGTGACCTGACGTCAAGATGGCAGCAAAGGTTGGATTGGTTCAGACAGCACCTTGATTCGAGTTGTGCACAAAAAAAAAAAAAACAATCGAGTACATGAAAAACGCTGGCAAGCATTTGTATGTATGTTGGCAGAGAGCAACAAGTCATGTGGTGTGTATGACAAAGAAGATACATGCAAAGATGGCTGATTTTTGAGCTCCCTCTCTGCACCACATTGCCTTTGGACTCCTAATAAGACAATGATGTGCAGGAGGGACACACTCTGCTGATAAAGTCACCCTGATGGCAAAACAGGAGATCCACTTGAGCAGCTAGCTGAGCATTTTTGCTTCATTCCACGCTTGGGACACGCATGACTAAGATGTTTTGTATTTTCAGATGTATATTGTTTGTAAACATTTATGAGTATGGCCACATGCATGTTGGAGCTTTGAAATTCCAGTTTGACTTAAGAACATGTTTGTGTTCTTGTAATGCCTGAATCCCAAAATTAAACGGCACAATGATTCAGAATTTCACTAAATTTGCAGTCTGGGCAATGATATGTGATCAAAGTGAATTCTGCTAGCTTTGAAAGTTAGGCAAACCGCTCATGGCAAGGTTACTTTTGAAAATATGCAAGATCGCAGTGAATAAATGATGCGTTTTCCACATCAGCAGGGAGCTGGCATGGCAAACAAAGGTCCATCCTATGGCATGAGCCGGCAGGTTCAGGACAAGATCGAGAGCAAGTATGACCAGGATCTGGAGCAGATTCTGGTGGAGTGGATCGTTCGCCAGTGTGGCTCTGACGTCAAAAGGCCAGAGTCAGGAAAAACGGGATTCCAGGCCTGGCTGAAAGACGGATGTGTGAGTGCACGACACAATCATACTGTTTGCTTTTTCGACTGACCCGCATCTTCCGTAAGTCACCCACTTGTGACAAATCTTGACCATCATGATCTTTCTGTATCTTTTCCTTATCATCCTTCCCTTCGGTTCAGGTCCTGAGTGAATTGATCAATAGTCTTTTTCCTGGAGACAAACCTGTGAAGAAGATTCAGAGCTCAACCATGGCTTTCAAGCAGATGGAGCAGATCTCTCAGTTCCTCAATGCTGCTGAGAAGTATGGCGTCACAAAGACTGACATGTTTCAGACTGTCGACCTCTGGGAAGGTTAGATGGCTCTTCACTTCTGTTACTGGAAACGCCGCATTGCTACTGCCATGATGGAATAGAAGTGATCTAATGTCTGTGAAGAGTAAAATATACCCTCACCCTTGAAGTTGATGAAGGATGAATCATCAATATGAAATCTCAAAAGATTTTCTGAGGTCTCATTCGATACGTGGCGGTCATGCATGCAGCAGGGATATACTGTAGTCGGGTTTTTTGTTGTAGTTGGCTTCTAATTCCATTTTGACTATAGTTTTGTAAATTCCGTTTTAATTACTCATAAGGGAGCGTTTGTTTTTATTAATTTGTATTCCCCCTCCTGCCAAAGTACTTCGTTGTAGTTTATTGCTATTTATCGATTTTTTTTTTTTAATCACCTTCCTAAAATAATGGCCTAAGTCATGTTTTGACAAATGTATGCATTTGCTTTTGACACCTTTTCCTGATGTTGGCCACCTCTGCGAAAATCGAATGTAGTTAAAACAGGTTATCGGAGTAATTCAAGTTCCACCCCTGCAATGAAATTATTAATAAATGTGATCAGTGTTTTGGTTCTGTTTTTGTTTTCTGGAAAAAAAACTGACTTGAGCCATTATTTTCGGGAGGTGAAGTTATGGAAAATTTGCAAAATTAAAAAAAAAAAGTCACAATACATACTGTGCAATAAAGTCACCTTCAGTCTTCTATATAGCTGAACAGTAATAACCTGCAGTGTTGCCAGTTACCTTGAAAAAGTACCTGTTTTTTTTTTCTTGTATAAGTCGATTGTACACTGTAACAGATCCAAGGGCGGTGTCTCTGTGTGTCGGCAGGTAAGGACCTGGCAGCAGTGCAGAGGACCCTTTCAGCTCTCGGCAGCTTGGCCGTCACCAAGGATGAGGGCACATACCAGGGCGACCCAAACTGGTTCTTTAAGTGAGTCCTGTCTAAAAAATAATGTATCCATTGTTCACCCTCAAGAAGCACTCAAGTTATTTTTTGTTTCTATGTGCTCTTGTAGGAAAGCGCAGGAGAACAAGCGAGAATTCTCAGATGATCAGATGAAGGCGGGCAAAAATGTGATTGGTCTCCAGATGGGGTCAAACAAGGGAGCCAGTCAGGAAGGCATGAGCTACGGAAGGCCGAGGCAAATCCTGTAAAATCCCTGAGCCACAGGAATGATTCGACCCCGATGCCCGTTTCAACATTTGAGAGCCTGTAAACAGTGGCCATTAAAAAGGTCCTCCCAATTTCTTTTTTTTCCTTTCCCAATTCAGTAACCCCCTGCCGCTTCATAGGGCATTTACTTTCAAATGAATAACCCAAGTCTCAACCCTTGACGCAACCCACACTGTTCACTTTTGCAGAGCCTCACCTTGCGCTATTCTGTCAGTCCCAGTTTATTAAGAGCTGTTAGGTGCCATTGGCGAAAGCACTACATAAATCTTATAATCCTGGATTTGGTCACAAAATAACACCTTTATTACCCATCTTTGTATGACAAGACTACCACCATGGGGAACCTTCAATATTACTTAAAAAAAAAAAAAAAGGAACCATATCTCCTGCTATCTACGTATGCCTGCTGTATCAGCACTGATGTTTTGTACATTTTCATATTAAATAATGACTTGGAAGTACATGTGTGAAAAAAAAACTGTGTGGTTTGCATTTGCCAGAGTTGACTCGTAACGTAAAAGTGAGGTTCTTTTCAGTTCACTGCAAAATTCAGCATTAAAAAAACACTCGCAGCTGGTTTTGTATCAAACCCCAAGATGACATTTCAAGTCCTTTATTCTCATTGATTCATGTGACTTGCACAGCAAAACACAAATTGCAACTCCTCCTTAACTGTCCAACAGTAAAGAGAACTCTGGTACATATTTTTAAAAAAACTGTATAAAAACATAGTTTCATCGGCAGAACAAATTATGTATGTTATATAAGGCATATATAAGCAACACTTCAGTAAAAAATATAGGCGTGCATAATCCACAATTGAAAAACCCACGTCAAGTTTTTTTCAGTAGTTGGTTGATCATCAGCCACAAGTAGGTCTCCTGGGCTTTAACATTTAATGCAATTTATCCTCCATCAAAAATACCTTTATTTTGATATCAGATTTTTAAAATGAGGCCACTTCTCACACCAACCAGACTCAAACAATTGCTCGCTCACAGCATATTGATACCTTTTTATAAAGTGCATACATTACATTCCCCACAAGGAATAGCAAATTATTCTGTAACAAACAGTTTTACTGAGACTCTAATTCCTTTTGGTTTTCTCTCAAGTGTTTTGTGAGGGATGGCTGCACAGACACATTCCAAAAAGATGTTCACAGAAGCCCTCGCGTTTCAATCACATTTCAAACGCTCCGCTCCACAGTGAACTCCATCCACAGTTCAATCAACAGTCTACATTGCACAGTCAGACAAACCACAGTGAACTGGGTGGAGAAGGACGAGGTGGAAACCTGAGACAGCCAAAGAGAACCTTTGTCCCAACTTCGGGCTCTGTCATGTCGTCATCATGTCTCGATCGATAAGTGGCATTTTGGCCTCTGAGTCAAGCACTGCATGCAGCTCGACCCCAGATTCCCGCTCCTCACTGCCTTCGTCCTCCTCATCTAATGCCTCCTCCACTCGACGCCCATTCCTGACTCTGTGACCTGTTTTCCTCCAGGACAGGCATTGGAGGCCTCTGAGGTCCAGGTGGGCCATGGCGGCCTCCAGTATGTAGTAGAGAGACCAAAACAGCGCAAAGCAGCCAAGCAGGAGCAGAAACTGGACAAGATATGAAAAGATACTAGCTGGCTAGCCCGACAGCTAGCTAGCTGGCTGGCTAGCCTGACAGCTAGCTAGCTGGCTAGCCAGCTTGTTCCTGAGTGACTTCCGGGAAGAGACTGCCAAGTGCCACAAGAAATTTAGGTAATAACAGAGAGAGAGAGAGAGCGAGAGAGCTAGCTAGCTAGCTAGCTAGCCCGCCAGCTAGCTGGCCAGCCCGCCAGCTAGTTAGATAGCTAGCTAGCCTGCCAGCTAGCTAGCTGGCTAGCCACCTTGTTCCTGAGTGACTTCCGGGAAGAGACTGCCAAGTGCCACAAGAAATTTAGGTAATAAAGACCTGCTCCTTTTTGATTAGTTTGAGTAGGTAGATCATGGAGAATGGACAGCAAAAAAAAAAGTGTGAGCTTTGTTTTGAGGCAACTTACCCTGAGACTGCTCGAGGTGAAGGGACTGATAATCTCTGATGGAATATCTAGGCCTGGGGAGCAAGGCAAGGAGAAGTTGCTGTGCAGATATTTGCCACTCATGGCATCCTTCACCAGCCTGCCATTTATTGGAGAAGTGGTGAGTAAAACATGATCCAAGCAGGTCATGGAAGATGGAAGAGAACAAGTAATAATAAAACGATACTGTATGAACAACAACTCAAATTGTTTATGATCCCAAAGTGGTGAGTAAAACATGATCCAAGCACGTCATGGAAGAGAACAAGTAATAATAAATCGATACTGTATGAACAACAACTCAAATTGTTTATGATCCCTTAAAAGTCTCTCGAATGATTCAACACAATAATCCACTCAGCTCAAATGAAACTGTTATTTGTCATTTGAATTGACACTGAATTAAAAGGTGCTTCGCGGATTCGACGCAATCTGTTTGCTCCATTTTTACATGTTAGCGCCATGCAAAAAGCCACACAATCCTTCAGTGAATTTGGCCCAAGGTTTGCACATTTTGCAAAACACACTATAATGAGGGCTTAGTTTAGACCAAATTAAAATCGCAATTATTTTAGCTGAGAAAGACTGCCGATAAGGGCTTACATTTGTCTGTCCTTGACATCCTTGAAGGTCAGAGAAGATCCGTACAGAGTCAACTTCCACTGCTTTAATTCCCCCACACTGGCACATTGTTGAGATGATGGTTCCTCTACATCAGCACAGAGATGGGTCATTGTGGGAGCAAGTGGAGCGCATTGCATGGAGCAACAAAAATGTGTGCAATTCAAAACGTGTGTGAACTGAGCAGCCACAGCTTACTATGGTCAGATAGCTTGAGGTAGTATTGACCGTCAGCTCTCTCCCCCCAGCAACGCACAGTGGAGAAGGTCCAGTCCTGGTAGCCTGCAGAGTCTCTGGGTGGGGGTGGAGGGGAAACGGCAAAGGCAGAGAACAATATTCATTTTTGAGCACAGATATGGCTTGGATGCTCCAATCAGAATATGTGAGCTGTTGCGACGGAGGGGCCACCTGTCAATAGCCCGTCGAGCCCCAATGACCGATGGAATACCGCTGGGACAGAACAACACAATCTCCAGGTTGCCACGACAAGGGTGGGTTATTGTCACCGTAACAGCCACATGCTCCAGTGTCCGCATCCCAGACAGTGCCAAGTCAGCAGCAGTGACTGAGGGAAGAAACAGACAGAGAAAGTGTGTCTTTCCTTTTCAAACATATGTAGGTTGGAACCGCTCAGGTGCTGGAATCAAAGCCTACACAAAAAAATTCGACTGGTCAAAATGATGATGGTGCCCATCTGCAAGGGGTACCACAGTGCATTTCAAGTTTGTGATTTGCACCCAATAATATCCAACCACTGGAGCACATGTATTATAATACATTTATTATAGAAAGAAAATGTTTTGTATCTGCTGTACCTTTTATATTCATCAGCCCTAAAACATTTACAAGTCGCAGAAACTGCACAGGCAACCGAACAGATGGTGCCAGAATTACACAGGTCTGCCTTTACAGTTTAGGCCACAATCAGTTGATGCATTATCATTAAAAATTAGTGCGAACAATGTAAGCGTTTTCACGATCGTTTTACACAGTCTTGATTTGGATTGACTTTTAAGTGGATTAATTATCGTTTTACAGTCTTGATTTGGATTGACTTTTAAGTGGATTAAATATTTGTGACAATCAGGACTGAACCTCACCGACGACTCAGTGCTCACCAAAGAATGACAGCAAGGTGTTCTTTTCATACTTCCTGGATGATGACAACTAATGAGTTCATCTGCTCTTTGACCATTTAAGGTTGCAAAACACCCTGAGGCTGAGGAGGGACATGAGTTGATGGAAAGTATCAACAAAGGTATAGCCTTATAGTCAATGGGTAGTAATTTTCAGGAGGGTAAGAGGCTCGGGTGATGTAAACAAAACCATTTGAAATGTGGGCTCATGAGTCTACAGAACACTTTTCCACTTTGCATCAGTCCATCTTAGATCGGCTCGGGCCCAGAGAAGCCGGCGGCGTTTCTGGGTGTTATTGATAAATGGCTTTTGCTTTGCAAAGTGGAGTTTTAACTGGCACTCACGGATGTAGTGTCGAACTGGATTTTCTGACATTGGTTTTCTGAAGTGCCTGAGCCCATGTGGAGATATGATTTACACATTGATGTCGGTTTTTGAAGCAGTGCCACCTGATGGATCAAAGATCATGGCCATTCAATGTTTTCGTTTTTTTGGCCTTGCTGCTCACATGCAGGGTTTTCTCCAGATTCTCAGGACCTTTTGGTGAGATGATGGACCATAGATGATGAAATCCGTAAATTCCTTGCAACTGTACATTGAGAAAGATTGTCCTCAAACTGTTTTCTCATGCCGTCGTTCACAACGAGGTGAACCTCGCCCCACCTTGTGAATGTCGCTGACGATGTAGTGGTGCACTCGTCTGAATTGTGTTCGGGCAGCTTGGGATCAGTGACTGTGTGGATGTGGGTGTGAATGATTGTATGTCTTTACATTTGCCCCGTGACTGACTGGCGACCGGTTCAGTGTGTAGTCGGCCTTCCGCCCGAAGTCAGCTGGGATAGACCCCAGCAACCGCCTGTGACCCTGTTCAGGATAATCGGTGGATGGATGGATGACTGAGCAATTCAGTGTAGCTCGTTTTATACCCAATCATGGCACCCGTTTGTTCCAAACAGGTGTTTGATGAGCATTCCTCAACTTGCCCAGTCTTTTTGGGCTCCTATCCCAGCTTTTTTGGAACGTGTTCTAGCCATAACATTCTAGGTTAATCATGATTTGCAAAAAAAAAAAAAAAAAAAAAAACCCTCAACAAAATAAAGTTTAACATCTTGAAAATTAAATATCTTGTCTTTGTCGTGTATTCAATTAAATTCAGGTTGAACATGATTGCATTCTGTGTTGATTTATGTTTAACACAGCCTCGCAACTTCATTGGAATTGGGTTTATAGTTCAAGGGTAGAGGTAATGTTGACTGAACAAGCAGGCCCCTCTGGCAGCGAGCCTGACCGCTAAAGGGCCCAGAAAAGTGCGAGACGACAGACGGATAAGGGGTAAGGAAAAGAGAGGAGAGGCAGGAAATGTTTCTGCTACAGTTTGATCACCACAAACTCAAGACGTGGAAAAAGAAGACAATAATAATGAGGGGAATCTGAACACTGAGCAGAGTTGCTGACCAACAAGTGCCCAAACGTAAGAAATAAGAGAACAAAGAGACACGGGCCATTTGGAGCCATGTGGTTCAGTGAGTAAATGTGGACGCCTCAATATAGAATCAGCAGAACATTACCTAATATGGACGCTTAAGTCAGACTGAGGAAATGAAAGGAGGGAAAGGGGGGGAGGTGGCTCCACGGCGTCGTGTAAAAGTTAAC